GCAAAGGAAGATCTACTAGATATTAATTAATTATAATATATCAATTCATGTGAATATGACTGAAAAATTTCCTTTTTTTCTGAAAAGGTGGTGTTTATTTACTTGTGACCACGCTGTGTATATAACGTGTGGTATTAATGGTATCATTCCACAGACTGAAGGAATGGGTACGTTCACCAGTAGTTATTCCCGTCTACAAATATTTCCACTACTGCTATATATATTCTCCTCAAAAGAATGTGTTACTGTTAACAAGCGCAGAGAGAAGCGCCTCCTATCTGTAAAAAAAATATATATATTTATTGCCTGTGTGTGTTTTATCAATTGTTTGAATGTAAAGGGCTTCTGTTATCTTTCTTTTTTTCATATGGGGTTCATATCGTGTCATTAATCCAAATTAGCATATGGCTTTCTTCTCTCTGGCGTGATGGGCTATTGAAAATAATAAGCATGTTTATTATTTCTTGAATTCTAACACGTTCCAATTTGGCAAACACTTGTCGAATGTATAACACACCGGACTTTCTATCGAGAAGACTCGGGATCGAATTCTTGCTGACTACCAATACAGAAATAGCCCTCAGAACTGCTTTAAAGACAGCAGCAGCTTGCCAGTCGAAACGAAGCTAATTAGTAACTATCCATGAAAAATAAATAAATCATTTAGGTGATCGTATGGGCTACTAAGAGAGGTGACATTAGAAAGACACATTAACAGTTGAATTCTTTCAGTAAAGCTGTTTTTGTTTTGCGACTCCTCTATTCTGCCACTCTCGGGAAATGCCTATTTTGTTTAGCTTATAACACTGAGCCCGATAACAGCAAAACTCTTCTTTCTTCTTAAGGGCTCGTATTAGTAGTAACACTGAACAAAGTTGCGATGCTTAAATATGTATAAGGATACAGAGCTGTGAAAAATAGTACACTATACAGATGAGGTCTTGTAAATCAAAATAGATTTTAATGTACGATATGATTTTTATTTTTGCAGATCTGGAGTCATCTGAAGAAGCCTATAGGCTTGGCTATAGGTATGGCTAGTCAGTTTTTTCTTATTCCTCTTCTAGCATTTTCTTTTGTTAAGATATGTGAAATACATGCGCTTTACGCAACAGGAATGATGATTGTATCATGTTGTTCCGGTGGAAGTTCGTCTAACATGATTACCTATTTCTGTGAAGGAGATGTTTCTTTAAGGTAAGTTTGGATTTAGTTTCGTTTCGTTTGTATTCTTTAAAGTATGTAAGAAGCATGTTTGCAGATTCAAACATTCATACTCAATATCTTGTTTTTTTAACTCATAGATTGAAAGTAAGGAACTGTTAAAGTGAAGTTGTCTAACTGTCCTTTTTCGTGATATAATTTTTATATTTGATATTTGTGCCATCGTTATGAGGTGAAAGTATTATGTACTTTACGAATAAAATGTATATGATCCGAGTTCAAGATACGGGTTGTACGGGACAACGATTCAGCCTTTTGCGAAGTCTTTTTAAAGTTTATTACATGATAATTGAATTATTACTAACAACAGATTAGATAATAAGTCTAACGAGTTAGGTAAACAAGACTTAGTTTTAACTTCGATATATAATTTATGAATAAACAAATTAATATACGTATATTGAAGTTGTGTTTCATTGATGATTAGGCAAGTGACCGAGATAAAGAAGCTGGATACGATCAACAAAATAACAAACAAAAAAAGAACTTGATTCAGCTCATTAATCGCATAAACTTGATTTGTTTGATGCTCTCAAATTTAATCACGAGCATGCGTATATAATGATATTCTAAAATTCTGTACTTAATATAACTGATTAATCTGTCATTGTTACTTCATATCAAACTGATATACAAGCGTCCTAACGATAGTACAATACACAAATTAATATCTGATGTACTCCATTAATGACAGTACAATACACAAATTAATATCTGATGCATTCAACTAACGATAGTACAATACACAAATTAATATCTGATGTACACCACTAACGATAACACAATACCCAGATTAATATCTGATGTACACCATAATATATAATTATAATATGCGTATTCTCTGCAACATATGAATGTGGCCTCAATTCTATCATCAAATGTTGTAGTAATATCAATTGGAGAATATGGACAATTTGTATATATATATATATACTGATGTTAAAAAATTATATTAAGTCTAATGTGTGTGTTATTTCAGATTTTTTAATTAGTTAAAAAACAGGCGTTATATGATCGTTAAGTATTGTACTATCGTTAGTGGAGTACATCAGATATTAATTTGTGTATTGTACTATCGTTAGAGGTGTACATCAGATATTAATTTGTGTATTGTACTATCGTTAGTGGTGTACATCAGATATTAATTTGTGTATTGTACTATCGTTAGAGGTGTACATCAGATATTAATTTGTGTATTGTACTATCTTATTTTATCAGTCGTGTTCATCTGTAAGTTTTAGAAACTATCGAAACTTCCTCTACCAAAATTTTAACCAAAATTTCATAGTTTCAACGCTGTGTGATTCTTGTAAATTTTAGTGACTATTCGAAACTTCCCGTAATAACTTATTTTTTAACCCTTTAACTGTGTTTGACATCATATGACGTTAGCGTAGGCAACTGTGGTTGACAACATATGATGCAAGCACTTTGCGCGCAACATTTGGAATTGCCTGCCACAAACATTCGCGAATCTTTGCGCATGGAGTGGTAGGCAGATTTACAGAAGCCGCAAACGAAGGGTTAACCAGTAATCCATAGCTTCAGCGCTGTGTGATCCTTGCTTTATCATTACAGCTTTTGTAGTTTCTATGCGTATGATTCTCGTGCGATACACTCCGATGTGTATGTTTAGTCTCTCGCTTTTGGTCCAGATTTATGAAGTTTATTGAAAAATCATCCAAGATAAAGATACGTTAAAATTAACACAACTTTTATTTGTGTTTATATATCAGTGTGAGTGCGTGTGTGTTTATTTTAATTTATTAATTATCTTGATATCATTTTATAAAGGATCGTCTCCCTGTTTATCTGTCTTAGATAATATCTTGCAAATTCCTTACCTTTTATTGTTTCCATGGTCAGGTGGTTAGGGCGACTGTTACGTATTAGAATTTTAAATGGTCTGAAATTGAGTTAACTGATAATTTAAATTTAGTAGTTAAATTGTACTTT